TGGAGCCTCAGGTTTATACTGTAAACTGGTAAAGATGAGGCAAGTAACATACGGCAGTATTTCTAGGAAAAGTAGCAGCTAATGCATATTACTTTACTTTGTGTAACAATCTGAATACTGAACATCACTGACCCAAGAAGACTTAAAAAATTAGAATATGGACTTAGAGGACTGATGATGCGTTTTTGAACGTTTTTGTCAAGAGCAAATAATTTGAGCCAATTAGGAAGTGACCACAACTAAGAAGTACATCAGGCAGTTTACAGCAAGACTACTGCATCCAATGTTTTGGTCTACGCTTGGTGTTTGGATGTAGTGCTCTGGTCACCATGGAAACTCATTCCATGAAGCTAATCTGAAGTTTGGAGGTCCGTCGTGATTGGCTCTGCAGAAAGCTGGTGACCTACGCTCACTCTGCGCCTCACCTGCTCGCTGATTTACGTGGCCGACCACTTCATGGCTGAGTTGCTGTCAGTCCCAATCACGTCCTCTTCGATGACTTTAACAGGTGACTGTGAAATATGTATTTGTGAGGAAATTTCACAGCTGGGCTTGTTGCACAGCTGACATCCTGCCACAGATCCACTCTGGATTTCACTGAGCTTTTTATTTACAAAGAAACATTTTATTTTTATTACACGGGAACAAAATGTGTTGGATACTGATATTCAGGGAGTCAGGTGCAGTTTGGCAGCTGTCAAATTATCCACAATATAATTTTAATCCACAATATGACCGACTGAGGGTTGTGAATGAAAATAATTTCTTACAGGTCAGATGATCAGTAACTAATGATGATGATAACATTAAAATTGCTTTTCATGTCACAGTATGACACATTTGTTCTCTTTCGCTGCTGCAACAGCAGCTCCCACTGCCGCTCCCAGTGCTGCTCCCACTGGACCCAGCACACTTCCAGCACCCGCTCCGATACCCACACTCTTCAGGAACTTCTTCTTCTTCTCTTCCTGTCCTCCTGCACCTCCTGCTTCTTCCACCATCTCTGTTTCTTCTCTCAGAAGTCGCTCCTGCTCTTCTCTGATGGCTCTCTCAGCCTCCTGCAGCATCTCGTTGGTGTAACATTTTCCTCCGTTGCTCTGAACCATGGTGTTGATCTTCTCCAGCAGCTCCCTGACCTGAGACACATCCTCACTTCTGTTCTTAAAAACATGATATCCTCCACCACACTGACTGATGAAGCCATGCAGACGCTGATTTCCATTTATCAATGTGTCTATGTTCGCTTCATTGTCCACATCATCTCCATGTGTGAACAGCACCATAGTATAATCTGCTGCTTCTTTTCCAAAGATCTCCTGCAGGATTTTCACTGTTTCTTGTTCTTCTTTGGTGAATCTGCCAATCTGGATGACGATCAGGAACACATGAGGACCAGGAGCAACAAAGGAGATGCATCTAACAAACTGTTCCTTCACCTCCAACTCAGACACGGTGATGTCAAACAAGCCCGGAGTATCGACGACAGCCAGCGTCTGTCCTTCCACCTCTCCTGTTTCCTTCTGACACTCTGACGTCACTGAAGCAAAAGAGGATGTCGATTTAAAGGCTTTTCTTCCCAAGATGGTGTTTCCTGATGCACTCTTCCCAACTCCTGTTCTCCCAACAA